GCCTGCATGTTGTGCCTTCCCTTCTTTCCCTGGCCTTCTTTCCTGAACACCTTCCACTACCTCCTGCCCCTCAGCCCCACTCCCCCAGACCTCTGTCTGTTCACAGCCCAAATCTTCCTGTAGCTGCCTGTCAGGGTTGCATTTTGGACCTCCTACTTTCTATCCATCTGGTGTCTTCTCTCAGGCTGTACCAGCTCAGGCTGTAAGAACAAGCTAGAAGAATCATAGAATCATAGAATAGTTTGGGATGGAAGGGACCTTTAAAGGCCATCTAGTCCAAGCCCTCTGCAATGAGCAGGGACATCTTCAACAGGATCAGGTTGCTCAGAGCCCCGTGCAACCTGACACTGAATGTTGCCAGGGATGGGGCATCTGCTGCCTCTCTGGGCAACCTGTGCCAGTGCTTCACCACTCTGATTGTGAAAAATTTCTTCCTTATATCTAGTCTAAATCTCTCCTCTTTTAGTTTAAAACCATTACCCCTTGTTCTGTCACAACAGGCCGTGCTAAAAAGTCTGTCCCCATCTTTCTTACGAGCCCCCTTTAAGTACTGGAAGGCTGCAATAAGGACTCCCTGGAGCCTTCTCTTCTCCAGGCTGAACAACCCCAACTCTCTCAGCCTTTCCTCTCAGGAGAGGTGTTCCACCCCTCAGATCATTTTGGTGGCCCTCCTCTGGACCCGCTCCAACATGTCCATGTCTTTCCTGTGCTGATCCAGGATGTTAGTGTTGATGCATCTTGTTCTGGGATGTGTTAGAGGGGCACCACCGTTGCTGGGAACAATGTCTTAAGGTAATCCTCTTTTTACAGTACCACTTAACCGCTGAACATACTGAAACCTCAGCAGCAAGCTGGGGATGATTTTCAAATCTTGTAGATTTGAAAATTGGTAGCTGAAATATCGCTTTTCACTAAGCAGTGAGTGCTAACTTTGTGAGAGATGCCTCTTAGAAGTATTGCAGTTTGTCTCATCTCTGTCTGGTGGTGACCTGTGCTCTTCATAGGGCAGGAGGTCACATGAATTTGACTGGCACAGCAGCATTTGCATTTATTTCCATTGCTTAGCCAAAGCAACCAGGTAGCTCTATCAGCAGCCTAGAGTAGTTCAGAAATGCCACAGTTCATCCCAATACAGGATCTGAGCAGGACCTCCACAGTGCAGCTGCTGTTCTCAAGGTGGGAATTAAAAATGGATATGGGGAAGAGAACCACACTGCTACCAGTGGCTTCTGCCATAAATCCCTATGGGACTTGGTTAAAAACATGTAGCTCCTGAGGCAGCATGTGTCACAGGGCTCCTTCAGCACTCCAGCCACTGTGCTGAGAGGTTTCCTGTTGTGTTTGTTTCAGCTGAAATGTGCAGCTCCCTGATGAGTTTGCTGTGACTCTGTACCAGAATATTAAAGAGCAAGATGGCGAGAGCATGAGGCAGCGTTCCCCAAGGACTGTGGTGGCTGAGTTTGCAAAGCCAGTAGCTGCAGTCAGAGAATCCTGACCTTTGCATTAGTCACTACTGAATGTATCCTCAATATTTATTTCAGGCTCACCACACAGAAAATGGCCAGCTTTGTTCACCAGATCTACAGCCTGCTCAGTTTAGCTGCATTAGCACAGCAGACACAGTAAAGCTCTTTGCCTGCACTCTCACAGATTTCTTTTAGAAGTCATTTAATATAACTCTGGAGGTAACATGATGTTCTGTCACTATTTTAGGCTGGATGTGGTCTGAGTTCATTAGCTGAAGTTTCCCAAATGTCATTTTTCTCTTTTGTGATCTTTAATTATAATTACTCTTTTTCTTAAACTTTTTGAACCCTAAAAAGTTACAAGAACGTCACAAAAGATTCTTAACAGAATTGCAGCCGTTGGGATGTATATTTTTCATCTCAAATTGTGAATGATGTTGTGATTTCATCCCTAAAACCTGGAAAATTTCCAGCAGGAGCAAACCTGGATTACTTTGATGAACACTTTACCACACAGTAGATCGCCAAAACCCAGAAACAGATGAACAGCAAATGCTTCTGGAAGAAGCTCTGAGGACATGAAAAGCTTTCCTTTGCTCAGGAAAACTGCCATCCTTACTGTGCTTTGATAAGTATGCCTTTCTCCCTAACTCATGCTTTGGTAATAGGGTAATAATTACATACTTGCTGTGCCAAAAAAAGTGGATCTGTCCTATAGCATCTTCAGTATAAATCAGATGTTTCTGCCTACAAATTTCCCTTTTAAAACTCAGCTTGACTATCGTTAGTCTGCATTCGAACTGATAAACGCAGAAATTCTGACTTCTCCCCAACTCTTTATCAGCTTTCCGAGGAACAAAATTATTAAAAAAAGAAAGAGAAGAAGAAGGGGCTGCTGAGTAGTGCCCAAAGGAAGGGGAGAAAACCATCCCAAGTGCAGATGTGTTACAAAGCGGGTGCCAGACCTTGTCAGTGCCTGCCTGTTCCAGAGTCCCATACCAGGGGAGCGCCTGTGTTCACTTCCTCAGGGCAGGGAGGGATGACCCCATGAAGATCTGCTCCTAATGCCTAAATGTCAGTGCTTACACTGCGGACCAAAGCATGAAATTTTATATCACAGCTCAAAAAAATGTGCTGATATGAAATATTTTATTTGGGACATTAGTGCTGCAAATATGCAGCTCTTTTTTGAAATCTTGGTTAATTCCTGGCTTGAGCAATGCTGTGTGGCGGGGGGGGGCGGGCCGTGGGCTAACTAGTCGTTGCACAAACAAGTATTTCCTTTTATTGATTTTCTCTTTTGTTTAGCAACCCTTGTTCTTGACTTATAAACATATGGTTCAGGAGTACTTTTTACTTTCCTTTGTATTATTCTTTAAACTATGATACTTGCCATGTGCCCTTTTCTTCACTTCTTTTCAAAACATTGCTTAGCTTTTAAATATCTTCTTTGGGGAAGTGCTTGGGAAGTGCTTCCAATACTCCCAATCATTACTGTCCCCAGTATACGAACCTTATCTCATTTTGCAATGACTGCTTCAAAGGGTGCTGGCTAGCCCAGCCTTTGTTAACCTAAGTAAGGTATGGCCATTGATTATTACGGTATTGAAAGTAATAATTTGTAAAAATAGTAAGTAATTTATTATTTTCCATACCACTGTCCTTGCAAAAGGACGAGTGGTATGCAAAAGGTTTTTAAGTAAAGGTTAAGCTAAGGTAGTGATTGAGCTGTTCGTGTCAAGGGCAGCTCTCAGTTCTGTGTCGTTGGATTTAGAGCACTGCAAGGCAGGTGAACAGTTCAGATTGTAACTTTCGGTGTGCAGTAGTTCATATATATAAGCATTGAATGTTATGAGCCAAGAGGTTGGTTAGCTGCCTTTCAGATTCCTCACTTTCTTTCATATTGGCAGAATGAAATAACTACTCGGTTACTTTCAGGTTTTGCTGCTTCACTGCTTGCACTTACTCTCAGAACAGCTGTGCTGAGCTGTTACGTTATCTTGGAGCACTTGAATGTTGCCATGATGAAAAACAATGATCTGTTCCTTTCCTTTGTTGTTTTTCTTGGCCATTCCTGATAGTAACTTAGAGTTGTCTACCTTTTGGTGGAATATGGGTTTAAATATATATGAGTGATAATTAATGTTGCTCAGTCTTCCAGATGAGAGGCAATTTTGGCCCCCTGCTACTTTGCTGACATACCTGCTCCAGTGCTACTATGAAAATTTTGCTGTCCAGCCTTTTCCTCTGCCCAGGGTCTTCTCTGTGCTCAACCATAACATCAGTTCCTCCCCCTTCAGCCTCATCTTCCCTCATGTTCACCCAGTCCCAGGCTGAAGTAGTCTGCAGTAGTCTCTGTCTCCCCTTACTAGGTGTGTCGGGGTGCAATTACCCAGTGGCCCTTCTCCGCCTTCCCAGACAACGTGTTTTGAGGATTTGAGAGGGCGAGGAAGGGAGGAATGACAGAGCGAGGGGAGCTAATGAGTCAGGGCTGCCGCTCATGGGTGGAAGGGTCAGGTGGATCTTTCGGTTGGCTTTTCCTATTTCCCTGTCCTCTCGTGTAAGACTGGGCTTGTTAGGGGATTGCTGTCTGAGCGCAGCTCACACCGGCTGCCTCCGTCTGAGGGAACTGGCCAGCAAAGTAGGCAGCTCATTAGGAGGGACATGCCCACAGGCAGGACTGATACTCCTGTGAGGCCAGAGGTTCTTCTGTGTCACTTTAAGACTGGCTCCAGCCCCAGCCAAGAAATGCCAGTAGGCAAGATGGGTTTCTTTGCAGTTGGTTGTGCATATTTTTTTAAGCACTCCATCCTTAATTGCCTGAAAAAATAATAATAATATAAAGAAATCACTACAGAGACCTTCTTTTGGAATAAGCCCAGATGGAATGAATATTCTGTCTTTTGATTCAGATCCAACCTCACAAAATTCAAGTGTATTCACTAGTACAGAGCTATTTATTTTGCACTCGGGGAGGCAAGCGTAAATAAGGTCTTTGACATAAGTAGTGAGAGCAGGCTGTTCTCTGGGTACTCCTGAACCATTTCTATTTGTCCTCTGGAGATCTATAGAAAATGCTTTTCCCCTCTACCTTTTGCAACAGTTCTCGTGGGTGTCTTGCTGCTTTCTACCACATGCCTCCATCCTTGTTGCAAGGAAGGAGGGAGACGGCAAATGGCCAGTATCATCCAGTCTCTCAGCCTGGGTAAATTACTGGAATATTTTTCCATTTTCATCTATAAGGCTGGCAAATTGACCACTGAAATATGCCACTTCACTTGGAGCATTCCAGTTGTTACAGGTTTTTAGACTCTCTATTAAATGTAATTATAGAGAAACTTTTACATGATTAAACCCCCCTTGCCTAGATAGTTAACTCTTATGGATTTAAAAACACACACACAGTTGTTTTTTTCTCTTTTTCTTCCAAACTTTTGACAGATAGGGAAA